CTTGTTTCGCCCTCACAAAAGCAAAAACTAAAGTTGGTATAAAGAAACCAAAATGAAATAGACCCGGCAGTTCAAGGCCTATTTTTTCCGCTAGCTGGATACTTGCACTGCTAAAACAACTCGTCATTCCACCACCAAGCAATTGAGAGGAGAGTTTGGCTAAATACGCCGCTGACTATCTTGTAGAGCTTCACACACCGGCGATGCCCTAAGGGTTGTGTATCCAGGGGGATATCTGTTCTGCACTCAAATACCGCTGAGCCCCCAGCTGTTGCTGCTGCGGCTGTTGTTGTTGGTGGTGTTGGTGGTGGTTTTGGTTGTCGTGGCAGAAGACGGTGGGCGTGTGGGTCGGTGGCACCCCGTATAGCGGAAGCTAGGCTTAGCAGAGTATCGCCCCGGGTTAGGGTGGGATTCCGACAGTCGCCGACTACATAGGTGGCTTACAGGCTGATTCCGCCAAGTACCCGGAATGCTGGGTCAATAAATGACAGGAATTTACCGCAAGGGCTCTGAATATGACCTCGTTTGTTTCATCATGGACTCTGTCTCAAAGTGCATTGCAAGTTTGGTGCACATTCATTTCCCACCTCTGAATAGCTTCCATATGGATCAGGAACTTGCTTGGTGGAGCCGTCAGTATACCACGCACGGATGTTGTTTTTGAGGCGATAGGTGTTCTTTTCCTCGTAGTTTGGCACATTCATTTCTGCTGGAGCTTTCACCTGACTGGATGCCAGGTGAGAAGGCTCGAATTGTTTGGCAAAAAAAGGATCCTGAAAAAAGAAGGTAAGGGCCCCTTTTGTGAGGGCCCTGATCAAAGCGGTCCTTTCCTTCTTTTCTTTCAGCTCTTCTTGTTTAGCGCTGCTGCCTTTCTCTGGAACACATGTGGTCCTTGTGGCCTGCTTTGGGGCCTTCTTGACATAGCTGCTTGCAGCTGCTGACATGGCATCAAAGCCAGAAAGTGACTCCTGCCAGCCATCAATATCATTGGTGGCATTGATTGTAAACACAGAGGTATACAAAGGTAAGTATGGGTCTCGTGCAAACTTACACCAGGAAGGTTTGACAGAAACTACGGCAGAAAACGCGTTGAGATAAAGTGGTCAATGATCATGGACATCGCTACTAGGAGCAAGGAAGCTACTAGGGGCTCCTGGCCGTACTACTAGTAACAAGACGCTACTAGGGGCTCCTGGCATCGCTACTAGGAGCAAGGAAGCTACTAGGGGCTCGAATCGAACGAGACGAGGAGAAAAGGAATCAGACTGGAGCAGTCAAAACGAATCAAGTGGCTTGCTATGAGCAGAAACGGGGTTGGATGTGGAAAGAACCAAGCATGTACCCAATACACCCTATTGGATAGCTCTTCCAAATTCAAAGGCAGAAACAACACACTACAAAATTGTGCAAAAGCAATATCAGCATTCCGTTACAAATGGCAAACACAACAGCTGGGAGAAACACTACTCCTCCGTAGTGGCTGCAGCACCAAAGCCACTCGCTGGCTGCATACCTTTTGCTGCAACGGGGCAATGAGCCATGTGCAATTGATTCCTTTCGTGTTCGAGCTGTGAGCGTTCAAGACCGCTAAAGCACTTTTGGGCAGAAAGACGTTTGACCTGAAGTGAAGAGTTAAGTCTGCGCACTTTACTCAAGGTCAATCACACATGATTGACAGAGAAATGTGAAGAAAAAGTCTCTTGGCCAAGTGGACCGCTGGTGAACCACACACACACAACTGGAGCGATACACCACATGCCCGAGTAAATCTAAATCTCAGTCTTTCTGCAGACTACTATGTGTAAGAAAGTCACTGTTGAAGGAAAAAAATGTGCACCACCTGTGAAGGGGAAGGAATGACTTTAATGTTATGCCTTACGCAGTTCCAGGTGATGTTACGCTGTCCTTTTCCATCAGGTATCCTGCTTAGCTCTGGCAAGGCTTCAATTTTGAAACAGCACTTCCCAAGAAGGCGTTGCAACTGTCAATTTTGGGTTTGAGCTGAATCAACTTGGGCCGCGCGGCCATAGCTTCATTTTTGAGGATAACCTTTTTCAAAAGAGGCTAGGCCTAGGCAAGTTTGGTGCTTTTGATTGAGCGATTGGAATTGATTTCTTCGACAAGCATGTTGATCACAATGATTCTGTTGAACGAACGCTTGTTTGGTGTTTGCGCTTTTGTCTTCCTTTGTCTGTTTTTTCTGATTTCAGCTGCGCCTGCCTGAGCTGAGTTCGAGCAAATCATGTGAACTGAAGTCAAACAGTTTTGGCATTCATCACTGAGCGCGGACTTTGTTTCAGATTCAACGTGAAAGCGTGACTTTTGGCCTGCAGACCCTGCGCACATTTCGTGCTTTTGCATCAATGAAACTACAGTGTTCCTTCTTGTATGGGATCGCAAGACTTCACAACAATGCTGACTGGTGGTCAATATTCCAAGTGTACTCAGCTCTTCAAATCATCTCTATATCTTGTAAGCCCACGACAGTTCACGGCAGGGCAGCAAACAAGTCAAGGTCAAATCATGACTCTTTGACTTTCTCAACCTGTGAGCCTTTGTTCTACATATCGCTACTTTGTGGAGGATTTGCTTCGAGGGAGTCGCATGGTCTGAGACCTGGCTTGGTGCGACGAGGTCGATTGCAGTCTCAAATTGGCACTGGTCATACACCTGCACAAGTACAGCCGAAGATATGGGTGAAATAGACGGTGGCATCGCAGTGGTGCTCCATTTACTTCGCGAGGCGATGACTTTACAAGAAGGTTTTGGAAAACAAGTTGAAATTTCGGCTTAGAACAGAAATTGGAACAATGATAACACTGATTTGTTTTCTCATGTTCTCTAGTTTGTGTCTATTTTCCTTTGTTCCTCAACATCTGTGGGCCAAAAGACATTGTTCTTCTCTGGGTTGCCCTTCCACAGTTTCGCTGCGGGCGCAGCTTCTCTGCCGCAGGAGGTTTCAAAGAACTCCAAGCGTGGGAGCAGCCGCTTGAAGGGAAAATCCTGGCCTGCCTTTGGAATCCACAAGCTTAAGCCAATGATTGTCATGTTCGTATTGTTGGACAATGAAAGTTTTGTCAACCTCAGACTTTGCGACAGTGGACAAGAGATTTAGACGGAAGTGGCCTTCACCAAGTGCGTTGCTTGGATTAGCGCGTTTCTTCATACAGCATTGGAGGATGATTAGCATCATTGTATTTTTCAATTTTCTTGATTAAGCTTCCGGTTGTGATGACACACTCTTGCTGAAGTGATACAGCTTTGCGCAAGTGGTCACACACGAGAAGAAGAGTTGGACATCTCTACGGCTTCCTTCCACGAACATGGAAAACTGCTGGGTCTCTGCACCTCCTCTATTTCCGCTTCCTTTGGACTTTCCTTTTCCTGTCCGACTTCCCGTCTGCTGCACCGCTGGAGCTTGTAGATTAGCCACTGGGGCGCTGTACCTTGGCTTGACTGTACCACGGTGTACAACATGAACACTTGCCCTCACAAAAATTCAGGAGTAAGCATGCAGGAAAGTGCTACTAGCTCTTCTTCACAATTTTTGCGTCTTGTCTTCTGAAACATTGAATGCTAGGCAATCCACTCTTGAGGTCTGTGGAACAAAAGCCACTGCTTGGCTCAAACAAACATATTAATACCTCCACTTTCAAGCCACCCCTGTTGTTGATTCCACTGCCCCTGCGCATAGGGATCCCCGAACATAACTTGGCCAGCTTGGCCAAAGCCCAATTGGCCATTGGCACAACCAAAGCCAGGATAGGGCTGCATGGCCCGCTAGGAGCTCCTAAATCTTTGCTCACGGACGCTCAAGGCGTTCTTGAACGAACCTTCTTGTTCGCACTGTAGGGTAGCGTACAAGATTCTATATTAAGTTTCCTGAATGAAAAGGACAAACTTACATTTTGGGAGTTGTTCAATTCAAAGAAGCAGTGAAGTCGAAGTCCTTCGTTTTAACAAGAAGTCCTTTGACTGTCATAATGTGAGGTAGTTGGGCTAAGATCAATCGCATCGGTGGATCATGTTCAGAACACCCTACAGTACACATCATGCAATCCAGCCCTATCCTACAATTGAATCTGTTTGACCTACCCTTATAAGCCTTAGGCTTCTCAATTCACCATAATTGACCTATTCCTGGGGTCCTGCATAACTTCTCTCACAGAGCCTGTGTCAAAGCCAAATGGCCTGATGCAGCCAGTTGTCGTGCATATTTCCAAGTCAACGTGTGCTCCAAAGCTCTGAAAGCTTGGTTTCCAGCGCCCTCAAAAAGAAATCCAAAAATCAATCTTCTTTTTGTTACTCTTTTCTTATGTGGTTTCCTATGTGATTTCTTCATGCAACCCTCAGACCTTCCTGTTTTCTTTGAAATCTTGCTCCTGTCTTTGTCCTGTCCTTTGCCGTTCTTTTTCCTGTCTTTCTGCATTTTTTCTTTCTTCCTATTCCCAACTGAGATGTTAAGCTGTTGTTGCAAAGTTGATTCTGTATGTGTTGCACATGCATCATATCGTGCACATGGCTTTTGACGCTCAGGCGGTCTGGAACTTCGCTTTCTTAGAAAGCGCACTGTCAGAGCAAAAGGTGGAAAGGGCGGAGGCATCGGCCAAGAATTGATTTAAGAAATTCAGGGCCATGAGGAGATTATTGAGAGCGTCCAGAGGCATTTGCAGAAGAAACAGAATCAAACTCATCTCGAGGCTTCATGAAATTCACGCACGTTGAGGCATGAAGGTGTCTCTCAACATCACAACATATCTCCGTGTCACCAAACATCACAAAAATGGTGCCATGTACCAAAGCAATGTCAATATCAATTGGTGTGAGCTCTTATCTAAAGCCTCCAAAGACCAGCCCCTTGCAGAGGTTGGTGTTCCAACTGTGCTTTGCATTTGCAAAGGGACAGTCGAGTCTTTCTCCACAACCTATGTCCACAGAGCGAGCTGAAAACATCTAAGCACTGGTGGTGCAAGTGGATTGTGCTTCTCTAGCGTCTTCAAGCCTTCAAGCTTGCTCAACTGCCACTCTGTCTGACTTTGTAATTCTCACGGAAGGAGTTTCCTAGAAGGTGTCACCTTCACTGTCTTCACTCCGTCTCAATTTTGTTGCTTTTCTTTAGGATCTCAAGGGCTTCAGTCTGCATGTCCTCAATCGCCTGCGCTGGCCGGCTCGAAGCTCGCAGCTAGGCAAAGGTTCACTCCAAGCTGAAGACAAGATTTCCGACTAGAAGACTAGGAAATGCTTCAAAATCTAGGAAATGGCCTGCCAATTCTCTTGAGTAGCAGGGCAGCCCTCCAGTTTTCGCGCCAGAGCTCTGCGCTTTTCCTCTTGACAGCGCTGGTAAACCGTGTATTTTGAATGCATCATGAACACCATGCGTTTCAAGGAAACTGTGGGATGTAGGCCAGCAAATATAATGAAGGCAATAGAGCAACATGATGCAACATGTCGACATGTCCTTCCATTCATCCTCAATGGCATCCAGGAGCTTCCCTGTTTCAGCAAAGGGTTTCGCCTGTTTTTGGCGAACCCAGCATAGAAGCGCGAAGAAGCTGATCCAACCTGCCGCAAGACATGCCGTAAGACATGCCGTTCCCAGTTGATTTTTCGCCTGAGGTCCTTCAAATGTCGTTTCGTTGACAGACCTCCTTTGTAGAGATTCAAGACTTTGGATGTGTGTTCCTCTTCCATATTCATCGTTCCTCGTTCTTCCATATTCGTCAGTTTCTAAGCTCACGATGATATAATCTGCACCTCCAAGACAAACACTGCAACCAAAGAGTCCTGCGAAGAAGGAAAAGGTACCAAGGAGGTCTGGCAGCGATTCTAACACTTAGGATCAACATGAAATAGGACAGGAAGGAAAGAAGAATTGTCTAAAAAGTATCTAAAGAAAAGTGGAAAAATTGAAAGGAAAAGGAAAAGGGTAAAGGAAAGGGAAAGGAAAACATGTCGATTTCAAGCTCTTGCGCCGTAGCAATCCTGGCAGCAAAATCAACCCTGTCTGCCCGTCAACCCATAGAACCAAAGAATCGATGTCGTCAGTGACTTCAAACTCACCAAAGCCTTGGTGACTTCGCTTTCGGACCCAAAAGGTTCAGGAAAACGATTCAGAACGAATTAGTGTCTTTTTTCATGTGTTTGTTTTTTTCTGAATATCCTTTGCCAGAAGCCAAAACAAACCACTCAGTGGAGAGCAAATGGAAGAAACCCAGTAGAACAGCTGTCCCACCAGCACCTTAGAAGCACAGGATACAAAAGAAATGCAGCCCGGACTGTCCATGCTTTCTTGGTGCGGCAGCTCCAAGTTGCTCACTTGTCCCGCAACTCCAAGGAAGGTCAAAGATTTCAACCACAAAGGCACCTCTGGCCACCTCTGGCACCACGAACGCGCCAAGGCTGATGGTTTTCAAAGAAACACCGTTTTTCACGGGAACCGTTGAGACAGTGCCGGAAAGCAAACGAAGTCGAAGACAAGGCCTATGGTCGCTGTTAGTAGCGTCCTTGCTCCTAGTAGCGATGTCCTTTGTTACTAGCAGCTTCTTGTTACTAGTAGTAATGCCAAGAGCTATTAGTAGCTTCTTGCTTCTGCGCAAAACTAAAAAAAGAGATCGGAAAAGCTACGTCGGCCTGATGGGTCTGCTTTTGGCGACCTGTTGTGTCTTGAAGTCAAGCCAGTCCAGGTGCAAATTCTGCTCCAATGGCTTCGACACCTGGCAGCTTCAGAATCGGATATGATGAACTATGAACAAACACGAAACATGTTAGAAAATGTGAGAACTGTTGTTTATTTGCCAGAAAAAAGCCGCCAATTTGCCAAACACCGCAATTTGGAAACAAAAAATCTAATTTGCTACATGGTTTTCGATGCCTCATTGCATAGAATGCAAGTATAGAAAGCATGACTACAATTCCAAGCTGTGTTGTGGTGGCTCTTGGACCTTGCACATGTTCAGAAATTCCCTAGAAGCATTGGTGCCTAATGGGAGATGCCATGGCTGTGGCACTTCAATCAGCACGATTTCTAACACGATACAAGTAGTAACAAGAAGCTAGTAGTAACAAGTGCATCGCTTCTAGTAACAAGTGCCTTACTGGTAGTAACAAGAAGCTAGTAGAAACAAGTGCATCGCTTCTAGTGACTAGTGCCTTACTGGTAGTAACAAGAAGCTACTAGTAATCATCGTTAACCAAAAACCTATTTCGTTGTGCAGTCGATTTCTAACACGTTCGGCCGTCCGAGCTTTGTCACGAGCTTTGAAACACCGGAAGCAATTGACAGAAAGTCAGAATTGTTTCTACTAGCTTCTTGTTACTACTAG